TCACCGAATCAGTCCATCTTATAGAGGGTCTTCCCCTCCTGTGCTGTCCCTCCATCCTCCCAAGCATGATGTCCCTCTCCAAGGACCCGTCCCTCCTGGCAACATGTCCAAAGTATGTCAGACGAAGCCCCAGAATCCTTGCCTCCAAGGAGTAGCTTGGTTTAATCCTCTCCAAGATGAATCTGTTTGTTTTCCTGGCAGTCCATGGTACATTCAGTACTCTTCTTCAGCACCACAGCTCAAAAGCATCCACTCTCCTTCTGTCCTCCCTAGTCATTGTCCAACTCTCTGATGCATAACAAGCGATTGCAAATACCATGGCCTATATCAGGCGCACCTTAGTCTCCAGAGAGACACCGTTGTTCCTGAGTACTTTAGAGAGGTCCCTAACAGCAGACTTTCCCATCGCGATATGCTTTTTGATTTCCTGACTGCTGGTGCCAAGAGTGTTGACTGGGGAGCCGAGCAAACTGAAGCTATGAACAATCTCAATCTCTTCATCATCCATCCTGACGCTGCCAATTGGTCCAGTGGTGAGAATCTTTGTCTTCTTGACATTGAGCCTCAGTCCATACTGAAGGCTGCATTCCTTGACCCTTCGCAGCAAGTGCATGAGGCCCTCCTCAGTTTCAGCAAGCAGGGTTGTGTCATCTGCATAACGCAGATTGTTAATAGATCTTCCACCAATCCTGATGCCACAATTCTCCTCATAGAGCCCAGCTTCTTGGATAATGTGCTCTGCATGCATGTTGAAAAGGTATGGAGACAGGATGCATCCCTGGCGTACACCCTTCCCAATTTTGAACCATGCAGTGTTACCCTGCTCTGTTCTGACTACTGCCTCTTGGTCCAAATACAGGTTTCGCATTAGCACAATTAAATGTTTTGGGATTCCCATTCTTCTCCTAGTCTGTCTTAATCTGAATGCTCAGATTTTGAGAAGTATCTGAAGACAAGCATTTTAAAAAAAAAAAAAAAAGAACGACATTTCCCAAATTGTGGAATTAACCATTAGTTTCAGTGTTGTCCCTACCCTTGGCACAAGTGTCTTGACCCACTTATTTCCCTGCTCCACCATCCACAAGCATCCCCATCCACTCCTATCCACTCCCTTCAACACCTGTCTCCCGTTGTCCAGCCCTTGATCTGCTAACTTATATCTGAAGCTTTTCTGGGCTTCTGTAACTCCAAAGTCTTCAGCTGCTGACTATTTCTTATGCTGTGGCCAGTGTCTCTTAAGTTTAGTGGAAATGTTTCCCAAGCGACCAAGATGTGCTTTGTAAAAAAGGTGTATAGATTGTTTTCCAGGCCCTCAGGCCAAAGGCCAAATGATTCTGGGACCACCTTGAGCTCTGGATCTTGTTTACCTGCGGGATAGGGGTTTCTGAGGCTCCATTTTACTGGCCCACCTCTTCCCTAATAAACATTTTTATCCTGCACCCTCTGAGTTTCCACAATGGTTCCAGGTTCCCCTTGAGCTCTGAGTCTTGTTTACCTGCAGGATGTACATTTCTGAGGCCCCTTTGTGCTGACCCATCTCTTCCCTTGTAAAAATTCCTATACCGCACCCTCCATGTGTCCCCACCTCAATGGTTCCTACAGCACCATGAGCTCTTTGTCCTGTTTACTTGTGAGGTGGGGGTTTCTGAGGCCCCTTTGTGCTGGCCCGCCTCTTCCCTGGTAAAATTACTATCTCGCACCCTCTGCATGTCCCCACTCCAATGGTTTTGGCCCCACCTTGAGCTTTGGATCTTGTTTACCTGAGTGCTGGGGGTTTCTGAAGCCCCTTTGTGCTCACCCGCCTCTTCTCTTTTAAAAATTCCTATCCCACACCATCCTCGTGTCCATAACGACTCCTGTACCACCTTGAGTTCTGGGTCTTGTTTATCTGTGGGCTGGGGGTTTCTTAGGACCCTTTGTGCTGACCCTCCTCCCTGGTAACAATTATTATTCCGCACCCTCTGCGTGTCCCCACCCCAAAGGTTCCTACTATGCAGCTTTGAGCTCTGGCTCTTGTTAATTTGCAGGTTGGAGGTTTCTGAGTCCCCTTTGTGCTGGCCTGCGTCTTCCATTGTAAATATTCCCATTAGCTCTCTCTGTGGGTCCCCAATAGTTTCGGTAACAACTTGAGCTCTGAGTCTTAATTACCTGCGGGGTGGGGATCTCTGAGGCCCCTTTGTGCTGTCCCACCTCTTCCCTTGTAAAAATTCCTATCACTCGCCCTGCACGTGTGCCCAATGCTTTCAGCACCACCTTGAGCTCTGATTCTTGTTTACCTGTGGGGTAGATGTTTCTGAGGCTTCTTCCCTTGTAAAAAGTCCTATCCCACGCCCTCTGAGTGTCACCACCCCAGCGGTTTTGGCCCCACCTTGACCTTTGGATCTTCCTTACCTGTGGGGTCGGGGTTTCTCGGGCTTCTTTGTGCTGTCCCGACTCCTCCCTTTTAAAAATTCCTGTCCTGCACCCTCTTCGTGTCCCTGATGGTTCCTGGGAGACCTGGAGCTCTGGGTCTTGTTTACCTGTGGTTTGGGGGTTTCTTAGGCCCTTTTGTTCTGTCCCACCTCTTCCCTGGTAAAAATTCCTATCCTGCGCCCTCTGTGTTTTCCCAACGGTTCTGGCACCCATTGAGCTATGGTTCTTGATTACCTGCAGAGTGGGGGTTTCTGATGCCACTTTGTGCTGGCCTGCCTCTTCCCTTGAAAAAATTCCTATCCCGCACCCTCTGCATACCCCCAATGGCTCTGGTGCTGCCTGGAGCTCTGGGTCTTGTTTACCTGTGGAATGTGGGTCTCTGAAGCCTTTTTGTACTGGCATGCCTTTTCTCTTGTAAAAATTTCTATCTTGTGCCTTCCTTGAGTTCCCAACGGTTCTGGCACCTCCTGGAGCTCTACCTGGGTCTTGTTTCTCTGCGGAGTAGGGGTTTCAGAGGCCCTGTTGTGCTGGTCCACCTCTTGCCTTGTAATTCCTATCCAGGGTGCCCTATAAGTTCCCCAATGGTTCCAGTGCAGCCTTGAGCTCTAGGTCTTGTTTACCTGTGGGAATGTGAGTTTGTGCTGGCCCGCCTCTTGTAAAAATTCCTAGTTTGTGCCCTTTGGGTGTTCTCAACAGTTCTGGCACTGCCCGGAGCTCTGGGTCTTGTTTACCTGTGGGATAGGGATTTCTCAGGCTTCTTTGTTTTGGCCCACCCCTTATAAAAGTTCCTATTCTGTGCCCTCTTTGTGTTCCCAATTGTTCCGGCACTGCCTAGAGCTCTGTGTCTTGTTTACCTGCAGGGTGGGGGTTTCTGAAATCCCTTTGTGCTGGCCCGCCTCTTCCCTTGTAAAAATTCCTATCCTGTGGCCTCTTCATGTCCTCAATGATTGCGGCTCCATCTTGAGCTGTGGGTCTTGTTTCCCAGAGGGGTGGGGATTTCTCAGGTATCTGTTTTGGTTCACCCCTTATAAAGTTCCTATTCTGTGCCCTCTTTGTGTCCCTGACGGTTCCGGTGTTGCCTTGAGCTCTGAGTCTTGTTTACCTTGGGGGGTAGGTTTTGAGGCCCCTTTGTTCTGGTCCACCTCTTCTAAAAAGTCTTATCCTATGCCCTCTGCGTGCCCTAATGGTTCCAGCACTGCCAGGAGCTCTGGATCTTGTTTACCTGTGAGGTGGGTATTTCTGAGGACCCTTTATGCTGGTCCACCTCTTCCCTAGTCAAACATCCTATCTTGCACCCTCCTCATGTCCCCAATGGTTCCGACGAAGCCTTGAGCTCTGGTTTTATTTACCTGAGCATTGGGGGTTTCTGAGGCCCCTTTAAGCTGGCCCACCACTTCTTAAAATTCCTATACCTCACCCTCCACATGTTTCCAATGGTTCCAGATCCGCCTTGAGTTCCAAGTCTTGTTTACCTGCAGGGTCAGCGTTTCTGATCCCACTTTGTGCTTACCTGCCTCTTAGAAAACTTCCTATTCTGTGCCCTTTGTGTGTCCTCAATGTTTCTGGGTGCCCCTGGAGCTCTGGGTCTTGTTTACCCGCGTGGTGTGGATTTCTGAGGCCCCTTTGTACTGGCCCACCTCTTCCCTTGTAAAAATTCCTGTCTGACACCCTCTGAGTTCCCCAATGGTTCTGGCTCTGCCTTGAGCTCTGGGTCTTATTTACCTGCAGGCTGAATGTTTCTGAGACCTCTTTGTCCTGGCCCGGCCTCTTCCCTTTTAAAAATTCCTATCCCGAAACCTCCTCATGTCCGCAACATTTCCAGTTCTGTCTGGAACTCTGGGGCTTGTTTTCCTGCAGGGTGGGGATCTCTGATGTCCTTTTGTGCTGGCCCGCCTCTTCTCTTGTAAAAATCCCTATCCTGTGCCCTCCATGTGTCCCCAGCAGCTCTGGTTCTTGTTTACATGCAAGGTGGTGGTTTCTGAGGCCCCTTTGTGCTGGTCTACCTCATCCCTTGTAAAAATTCCTATCCTTTGCCCTCTGAGTGTCCCCAAAGGTTCTGGTGCCACCTTGAGCTCTGGGACTTATTTACCTGTGGGATGGGAATTTCTGAGGCCCCTTTGTACTGGCCTGCCTCTTCCCGTGTAAAAATTCCTATCCTGCATCCTCCTCATGTTTCCAATGGTTCTGGTACTGCCTGGAGGTCTGGGGCTTATTTAGCTGCAGGATGGGGGGTTTTGAGGCCCCTTTGTGCTGGCCTGCCTCTTCTAAAAATGCTTATCCCATGCCCTCCATGTGTCCACAATGGTTCCTGAGCCTCCTGGAGCTCTGAGTCTTGTTTACCTGTGGGGTGGGTATTTCTGAGGCCCCTTTGTGCTGGCCCGCCTCTCCCCTTGTAAAAATTCCTATCCCATGCCCTTCACATGTCCAACGATTCTGATGATGCCTTGAGCTCTGCGTCTTGTTTACCTGCAGGGTGGGGGTTTCTGAAGCCCCTTTGTGCTGGCCCACCTTTTCTAAAATTCCTATCCTGAGCCCACCGTGTGTCCCAAATGGTTCCTGCAAATCCTGGAGCTCTGGGTCTTGTTTACCTGCAGGGTAGGGGTTTCTGAGGCCCCTTTGTGCTGACCTGCCTCTTCCAAAAATTCCCATTTTGCACTCTTTGCATGTCCCCAACCATTCTGGCACTGCTTGGAGATCTGGGTCATGTTTCCCTGTGGCGTGGGGGTTTCTGAGGCACCTTTGTGCCGGCCCTCCTTTTCCCTTTAAAAAATTCCTATCCCATGCCCTCTGTGTGTCCCCAACACTTCTTGTGCCTCCTAGAGCTCTGGGTCTCATTAACCTGCTGGGTGGGTGTTTCTGAGACCCTTTGTGCTGGTTCTTCCCTTCTAAAATTCCTATGGCATGCCCTCCTCGTGTCTCCAATGCTTCTGACCCTGTCTGGCACTCAGGGTCTTGTTTACTTGCTGAGTAGGGGATTCTGAGGCCCCTTTGTGCTGGCTGCCTCTTTTAAAAATTCCGATTCCATGCCCATGACGTGTCCCCAATGGTTTCGGCTCTACCTGGAGCTCTGGGTCTTGTTTACCTGTGGGATAGGTGTTTGTGAGCTCACTTTTTGCTGACCCACCTCTTCCCTTGTAAAAATTCCTATCCTGTGCCCTCTGCTTGTCCCCCATGGTTCAGACAACGCCTTGAGCTCAGGGTCTGGTTTACCTGAGGGGTGGGCTTTCTGAGATCTCTTTGAGCTGGCCTGCCTCTTCTAAAATTCCTATCCCTCACCCTCTGCTTGTCACCAGTGGTTCCGGCACCACCTTGAGCTCTGTGTCTTGTTTACCTGCGGGGTGGGGATTTCAGATGCCCCTTTGTTCTGGCCTGACCCTTCCCTTGTAAAAATTCCTATTCTGCACCCTCCACTTGTCCCCAGTGGTTCCAGTCCCGCCTGAAGTTCTGGGTCTTGTTTACCTGTGGGGAGGGGGTTTCTAAGGCCCCTTTGTACTGGCCTGCTTCTTCCCTTGTAAAAATTCCTATCCAATGTCCTATGCATGTTCCCAAAGTTTCTGTTGACGCTTGGAGCTTTGGGTATTTTTTACCTGTGGGGTGGGCATTTCTGAGGCTCCTTTCTGTTGTCCCTCCTCTTTTAAAATTCCTATTTCATGCCCTTGGCATGTCCCCAATGATTACGGCACAGCCTTGAGATCTGGGTATTAATTACCTGCGGGATGGGGATTTCTGAGGCCCCTTTGTACTAACCCACCTCTTCCCTCTTTAAAATTTTTATCCCGTGCACTCCGCATGCCCCCAACTATTCTGACAATTCCTTGAGCTCTGGGTCTTGTTTATCTGTGGGGTGGGATTTTCTGAGGTCCCTTTTTGCTGGCTAACCTCTTCTAAAATTCCTATCCCATTCCCTACCTGTGTCCCCAAACGTTCGGGCACCAACTGGAGCTCTGGGTCTTGTTTACTTGCACAGTGGGGGTTTATGAGGCCCTTTTGTGCTAGTCCACCTCTTCCCTTGTAAAAATTCCTATCCCGTGCCCTCAGTGTGTCCACCAAGGTTCCAGTGAAACCTGGAGCTCTGGGTCTTATTTACCTGCGGGGTGGGGTTTCTGAGGCACCTTTGTGCTGGTTTGCCTCTTCTAAAATTCCTATCCCGCATCGTCCTCGTGTTTCCAACGGTTCCGGCACCACCTTGAGGTCTGGGTCTTGTGGGGTGGAGATTTCTGAGGTTCCTTTGTGCTGCCCAGCCTCTTCCCTTATAAAAATTTTTATCCCGTGCCCTCCTCATTTCACCAATGTGAAATGTCTCCTTGAGCTCTGGGTCTCAGTTACCTGTGGAGTGTGGGTTTCTGAGGTCCTTTTGTGCATGCCTGCCTCTTCCCTTGTAAAAATTCCTATCCCTCACCCTCCTTGTGTCCCCAATGGTCTGGCACTGCCTGGAGCTCTGGGTCTTGTTTCCCTGTGGGTTGAGTGTTTCTGAGGCCCCTTTTTGCTGGCCTGCTTCTCCCCTTGTAAAAATTCATATCCTGAGCCCTCCATGTGTCCCCAAAGGCTCTGGCTAAGGTCTGGTTTACCTGCAAGGTAGGTGTTTCTGAGGCCCCTTTGTCCTGGCCCACCTCCTTTAAAAATTCCTTCCGTGCCTTTGGCGTGTCCCAACAGTTTCTGTGCTGCCTGGAACTCTGGGTCTTGTTTACTTGCAGGGTGGGTGTTTGTGAGCTCACTTTGTACTGACTCGCCTCTTCCCTAGTAAAAATTCCCATCCCATGCCCTCCATGTATCCCCAAAGGTTCTGGCAAAGCCTGGAACTCTGGGTCTTATTTACTTGCAGGGTGGGCTTTCTGAGGTCCCTTTGTGCTGGCCTGCATCTTCTCTTATAAAAATTCCTATCCTGTGCCCTCCACGTGTCCCCAAAGTTTCTGGTGAAGCCTAGAGCTCTGGGTCTTGTTTCCCTGCAGGGTGGGGGTTTCTGAGGCTACTTTGAGCTGGCCTGCCTCTTCTAAAAATTCCTATTCCATGCCCTTTGAGTGTCCCCAACAGTTCTCCTGCTGCCTGGGTCTCTGGGGCTTGTTTACTTGCAGGATTGGGGTTTGTAAGGCCCATTTGTGCTGGCCTGCCTCTTCCCCTGTAAAAATTCCTATCCTGCACCCTAATTGTGTCCCCAGTGTTTCCGGCAACACCTTGAGCTGTGGGTCTTGTTTACTTGCATGGTGGGTGTTTCTGAGGGTGCTTTTTGATGGCCCATCTCTTCCCTTGTAAAAATTCCTACTCTATGTCCTCTGCTTGTTTACCTGAGGCGTGGGGGTTTCTGAGACCCCTTTGTGCTGTCCTGCCTCTTCTAAAAATTCCAATTCCAAGCCATTTGTGTATCCCCAACAGTAATGATGTTGCCTGGAGCTCTGGGTCCCTTGTAAAAATTCCTATCCTGTGCCCTCCTTGTGTCCCCAAGGGTTCTGGGGCCCCTGTGAGCTCTGTGTCTTGTTTACCTGTGGGGTAGGAGTTTCTGAGGCCCCTTTGCGCTGGCCCTCCTCTTCCCTTGTAAAAATTTCTGTGCCACGCCCTCCTCATGTCCCCAATGGTTCTGGTGCCACCTGGAGTTCTTGATCTTGTTTACTTGCGGGGTGAGGGTTTCTGAGGCCCCTTTGTACTGGCCTGCCTCTTTTTAAAATTCTTATTCTGTGCCCTTGGTGTGTCCCCAGTGGTTTCAATGCCACCTAGAGCTCTGGATCTTGTTTATCTGCAGGGTGGGTGTTCGTGAGCTCACTTTGTGCTGGTTTGCCTCTTCCCTTGTATAAATTCCTATCCTCCTCCTTCTGAGTATCCCCATCAGTTCTGGTGCCACCTTGAGCTCTGGGTCTTGTTTACCTTCAGGGTAGGGGTTTCTGATGCCCCTTTGTGCTGGCCTGTCTCTTTTAAAAATTCTTATTCCATGTCCTAGCCACTGCCTGGAGCTCTGGGTATTGTTTCCCAGAGGGGTGGGGGTTTCTGAGGCCCCTTTGTGCTGGCCTGCCTCTTCTTGGTAGAAAGAGCAGTACTAAAATTCAGACACAACCCCCAAAAAGCACATGACACCAAAACCATCCCTTTACTTGCCTATCCGGACAACCATGTACAAGTAGCAACAAGCCACAGAATCCCAGAATGGAGTCATCCTGGAACCTTTTTGTGTTCTCTTCTATTCTCCCTGTGGGGTTTCATCTATCGGCCTTGAGCAGCCTAAAACCCTAGGCAAAGCCTAAAGGACCCTGCTCATGGGAGAAAGATACACAAGCAGCGAGAAGCCACAGACCTCCAGACTGGAGTCATCCATGTTCTCTTCTCCCCCTGCGGGATCTTAAGCCATCATCTTTGAGCAGCCTTAAACTCTAGGTAAAGCTTCAAATGCCCGGCTTTGGTAGAAAGAGCAGTACCACACATAAGACCCAACCTGGAAAAAGCACATGAACCCAAAAACTTCCTTTTACTTGCCCATGCACATCACCATGCACAAACAGGGAGAAGCCACAGACCTCCATAGTGGAGTCATCCAGGAACCTGGCTACGTTCTCTTCTCTTCTCTCCCTGTGTGGTTTTCAACCATTGCCTTTGAGCAGCCTTAAACCCTAAGCAAAGACACAAGGACCCGCTCTTGAGGAAAGATCAGTAGTACACATCAGACACAACCCCAAAAAAATACGCAATCCCAGTAACTTCCTTTTACTTGACAATCTGGACCACCATGCACAAGCAACGAGAAGCCACAGACCCCCAGAGTGGAGTCATCCAGGAACCTGCTCTGGTTCTATTCCCCTCCCCCTGTGTGGTTTTAAGCCACCACATTTAAGCAGCCTTAAACCTGAAAATGCACATGACCCCAAAAGCTTCCTTTTACTTTCCCCTGCTGACCACTTTTCACAAGCAGCAAAAAGCCCCAGACCCCCAGAGTGGAGTCATCCAGGAACCTGGCCACATTCTCTTCTCCCACTGTGTGGTTTTCAGCCATTGCCTTTGAGCAGCCTTCAACCATAGGCAAAGACACAAGGACCTGGTCTTGGGGAAAGATCAGTAGTACACATCAAACAGGACCCCGAAAAAGCACACAACCCCAGTAACCTCCTTTTACTTGCTCACCCAGACCACCATGCAGAATCAGTGAGAAGCCACAAACTCCCAGAGGGGAGTCCTCCAGGAACCTGGCTGGGTTCTATTTGCCTCCACCTGTGGGGTTTTAAGGCATCACCTTTGAGCAGCCTTAAACCTTAGGCAAAGCCTCGAGGACCCTGTTCATGGGAGAAAAGAGCAGTACTACACATCAGACACTACCCTGAAAAAGCACATGACCCCAAAACTTTCCTTTTACTTGCCCATCCAGACAACCATGCACAAGCAGGGAGAAGCCACAAACCTCCAAAGTGGAGTTATCCAGGAAACTGGCCTTGTTCCCTTTCCCTTGCAGGCTTTTAAGCCATTGCCTTTGAGTTGTCTTCAACCTTAGGAAAAGCCACAAGGACCCCGCTCTAGGGAGAAAGAGCAGTACTGCTGATCAGACATAACCCAGAAAAAAATAATAACCCGAAAAACTTCTTTTTATTTGCCCATCAGGACCACAATGCAGAAGCAGCGAGAAGCCACAGACCCCCAGAGGGCAGTTATCCAGGAACCTGGCTGAATTATCTTCCCCAACCTCTGTGGGGTTTAAGCCATTGCCTTTGAACAGCCTTAAACAATAAGTTAA